ATTATTAATAATATTGAAATCGACCACTTATTCAAATAACACCGATTTTACTTTTTTGTAAATGGCTTGCTATTATTCTTGACTTTAAACTAATTTGAGATTATTTACGTATAACAAAAGATAAGAAATTAGGAAGCACGTTTGCTGAAGTTTAAGACAGAATAAGTTTCAAAATTATGTTATCATGATTCTACTGTATAATGCAATTTGAGAAACAATTAGAGATAATGTTCCTTGGTAAGTGCTGAAAAGAGATAAAGACAATTCATCCAAGAGCAAAGAAAACAATATTTTCATACAGCAAATACAGTTATACCACACGTTTATAGTATTCAGTGTCGCGGTCCATGCAAACTCATTAATTAACGTTCATGACATTTTGTAGATATGAAGGAAATTGTTATTGTCTTTACTAGTTTTACAACTGTAGTACAGCGTCCGTGTTTCCCCACACCAACATATAGCCTCTTGACTCTTAAGATCCTTCAACACAACTTTTCCAGTAAAGTAGTTTCCGAATATCTCACCTATTACACTGTGCATCCCGTCACACACAAACAAAGAATCATCATCTCATAGTGCTATTCCTTAAGGTACACCCATGTCACCATAACTACCAATGACCTCTCCATACCATTTTTTTTTACCAATTTATTCATGTTCCTGCCAGAATCATAAAATGAACTGCTGATAGCTGTTATGGATCATTTAATGAAATTTTATTTCTAAATGATTTCAATACAGTGCAAATTAAATCAACTGGCTTGAGTTCTGATAGATTCCAGAATGATATGATAAGTTTACTGTCGTAGCAGCATATACCGTGACAGTTTTCACCCAACTTCTGTATTTATCTATTTCATAATGTGCTGCTGATTTAATTCGTAGGATGAGATTGTTATAAACAGAATTTTGTTAGCCCAGCGTAGTGTGACAGCTAGTTCAGTGCTCGTTACTGGGGTGACACCGTAAGGCTGTTCATCTATTTGTTGTCGATCAGTTACAGTTTGACTGTAAGTATCCGCCATTTTACTACATGGTTGGAGACAGTAATGATAAGACGATCTGTAATATGGAGAGCAATCCTATTATCCAGCACCTTTAATTATCTTCCAACGTTTTCCTACAGATATCTCCCTCCTAAGAAAATTGCCTAGACTTCAATGTAAAACATTCTGTTTTGATGGTTATGTGTACAAATGTACCAAATGATGTTACTATTGTTAGCACCGTAGATATTATTTCATTTGGACTGAAAATGTGACAAATATGCAAGCTCTTTCTTGCAGTCTTCTATCATTTTAACTGCTCGTTTTACTTCCAAGTAAAGATTATCTGCTTGTTTTGTGTTGTTAATTTCTTTGATGATGTCCATAAAATCTTTGTTCTACAGTTAGTGGTCTCTATTTGTTTGAAGATTTTGGAATTATTTTCTTGAACTACTTTTGCTTCATCAATAGCTCTTTGTTTAAGTTCATCTAATCTTTGATTAATTTCTTTCCGAAGTATCTTGGTATCTTTTATTACATTTTTTCAAGGTGCGGTTAAATTGTACAGAAAATCTATACGTACGCTCTTGTACATTTGTATATAATTATTACGAAATTGATTAGAAATTGTACCTATGGTTTTCAAGATTTCACGGTACTCTTTCCCTTCAATAATATTTTCAAAATGTATGGTAAATAGCTCATTTTTGATGTCCTTGAGTCACACAAACACTGCAAAGTATTTCATCATGGATCGGCAATAATACTTGATGACCTTATTTTTTGTGTTTTGGACAATGCTGTGCAAGATCATCGCGCTGTTGAGCAGTAGAAGAGGGAATGTTGTTTTTACCTAGCAGTATGTGTTGTCGGGAAAGGGTATGTCTCGTGAGTTGTTTGTAACAGGTTTTACATTAGTGTTCACAACAATTCTTGCAATAGACATGTGCAGCCCTTTGGGAACCGGAGCATATCGACTGATAATTGTCTTTTCATCAAGCATTTTGATATGTCTTAAATTAACTGATTTCCTGTAAAGATGCTAAGACGATCAGGCTGAGAAGAAACACAAGAACGTCTACTTTTTACATCAGAATTATTCATGGTAAGGTGTTTCCGTGTTTCCTTGGCAAAAATAGGTCTAATGAAATGTGATTCTTCGGATAACCTTATAATCAAAACACAAGATCAAATTAAAACAACAATTATGATAAAGAGATATAGATGACTTTATTGTTAATATATTTTATCAGCACCTACTTTTTAAACAAGTCAGTGCAGAAAGTTCACATATCTTTAATAAAGGATAGACAAAATATTCATATTTCACAATAATTAAAAGTGGATAACAAAACCTCTACAAGATTTAATACTACCAATATCATTTCTAACAGAATTAAAAAAATTCAAACAATTTCTAGATATTTCTAAAGTCATAAAACTTACTATAACAATTTTTCAAGCAAACATTAACTCAGTAACTTTCACATAGTCATCAACAAATAAACTATAGAGCAACACATAATTTACTGATAGAAAAAAGGGCTCTTATAAAAAAATGTTTGAATTGAAATGTATCAATAGGTTTATTTCATACTTGTTTAAGGAATTGACCTATTGAATGTATAACGCTTGAGTAATTGTCTTAATTAGTTAGCTAAGGGTTTAAAAGATCAGTTCATGCTTAGTTCTTTTATGATCTAAATCATAAAATAAGTTCAAAACATAAAAACAAAATTCAGCTCTTTGAGTTTATGTTAAAATATTTCCAGGAGAACAGCAAACATTATTGTTCAACCAGATGATTAAATAACATATATTCCACTACTCAGTACAATATTTGTGCATATAGGAAGTTAAAACTCAAACAAGACTTAGGTAGGAAAAAGGCCAAGTATTTCATGGACTGATAGGAACTTTAAACTAAAAAAGGGCAAAGTATAATATAGGTAGATAGGAAAATTTATCTTAAACAATTAAATTGGTAAGGTAGAAAGTTAAAAAATAATCAAAACCACCTATTTCATGGGTTTTCAATTTAAACAAAACAACATGTTTTATACGTAGGTAGATCGGAAATTTAATCTCAAACAATACCACATATTCCATACATGGATAGAAAAATTATAAATCATAAAAGACATTATAATACTTGAAATAATGGACATCAATATATGAATATGACAAACGTAAAATATGTTGATTTAACTTGTACAGATACACTCAATTTCTATGACAACTTTGGAAAAATCAACAACAGTGGTACAGTATACATAATAAGAAAATTCATAAAATTGTCTTAAATTCTTTTTTAACTTTATATCTTATCGTCTTTTATTCTGATTTATGAAACAAACATAATGACTAGTTTTCAAGACATAAAGTTTAAATGAAGAAAACAGATATTCTTTACAAACAAACGCAGTAGAACCCATACAAATATAAATACTGAGATAATGGGTTTTTTTAATCATCTGGACGTGAAGTTAAGATTTTTCAGAGAAATAAAATACCTTTTTGTAGGATTGAGTTTAAGTTAATCAGAAGTTAATCATATCTGATCTCATGGGCTGAAACATTAGCAGTGTTAAATAGATTATGTTTTTTTCCCCATTTTGATGTAAACTTAAGCTGTAAAAGTGGGTTACATCTGGCAAATAAAAACTGTTAATATTATGTTGATTACTAGAGGGTTTTACCAAGTATATCTCCAAATAGGAATCGCCACACAAGCAAAACAAAAATAGTAATAATACAAGGATTTTTTTAACATTTTTTCAAAACTTAATTTCAAAACCAGGTTCTAATCAAGTATAAACTAAATTCTAACATAGTATACGATTGTCGCTTAAATATATATGCTGACCCTATGAATCATATACTAGTACACCAAATTCATAGATCTTACATTGTTCCTAATTGGGTGAGCAACTCCTGGTGGAAAATAAATTAACATTTATGATTACATTACTTTTTAATGCCAAAGAACATTAAAGGTTTTAAACAAAACATTAACAGGGTAACCATAACACAGTAAAATGACAAGATGCATCTTTTCTTCCTTGTAATTTATTATCAAAACCTGGTTAAAAATGGTATGGCATTCATTACCATTTAAATTTTAGACAAAACTTAAATGGCTTATAATCAAAACATCATCTGATATTTTTTGCTTGGTTTTAAGTCAAAACCAACACTGTTAAGGTCAAATGGTGACTTTCCAGCTTTACTGGTTGAGGAAGAGATCAGGTGCCCCAACATGCTTTATGTCAGTCAAGAGTGGCGAACAGCGTAGAACCATAATTCTTCTATAAGCTGTCTGGATAGCTTTATAAAATTTAACAATAAACTAGTCACTCGTAGCACTTGAACTACAGCAAAGAGGGCTAGAGATTCAAGGTCAGTGACCTTAACCACTCAGCAAGTAGGTCCTGCATCTAATAAAACTATCAAATATAACCAATATTGTTCAAAATCCTCTATATTAGTCAGTCTGGAAACAGAAAACCATTTTTTTTTATTTTGCAATTTACATGTACTGTTTTCATTTCAATAACATTCTAATTTATAAAGTACTCCTGGTTTCATTCAAAGAAAAGAAAACAGACTCCCAAACACATCTCAGACAAAACTAAATACTATATAAGTAAAGAAAATCCATCTATGTAAATATGTTGTCAAATAAATATATAATTATACAATTTTGAGCAAAAAGAGTCACAAAGAGTTACATCAACATAACAAAAATCCTTATCCGAACAAAAAGTCTGGAACCAATTTTTTCTTTCTATTTGTAATAGTAAAAAAACCTTATGTATCCACAACCTGTGTTCTCCGAAATCCGGGCGTTTTTTGAAACAATTTTGTTCTTGTTTAACTCTAAAATTAACCACATGTATCCGCACAGTGTTTGCCGACTTCACATCCTGTATTTACATTCAAAATTTAAAAAAACGCACATTTCAAACAACAATGTAGTCTACATGTAGTCTTATGGTTCTTGCGAATTGTTTATTGTCTATTACAGTTGATAGATGTAAAAATGAAGTTGTTTTTGTCCCTATCTACTCCATCTTCACTGCTGTAGTAAAGCTTCATTGTTGTACTACACCAACATACAGCCTGTAGACTACTTATATCCTTCATGATGACCTTTCCTGCAGAACAGTCTCCTAATATCTCTTTTACAACCTGTTTCTCTCGGTCACACACAAAGACAGTACCATCATCTGACAGTAATATTCCTCTAGGTTCATTCATATCACCGTAGCTACCAATCACCTGCCCATACCAGTTTATCCTTGTCACTCTTTTCTTGTTTGTGTCAGAAATAAAGATTGAACTACTGATAGCCTCGACATACAGAGGATTTCTGAAATTTTGATCTTCAAATGTTTCCAAAACAATACCATCCATGTCCAGGATCTGGAGTTTTGCAGGGTCACAGAATGATACAACAAGTTTATCTTGGTAACAGCTTATACCCCAACAGTTTCCATCAACCTTTATCGTGTGCTGTTGTTTTAGTTTGTTTGAAGAGATTGCTATAAACTGAATTTTGTGACTACTAGGAAGTGTGGCACCCAGTTCAGTACTAGTCACCGAGGTGATATCATAAGGCCCACAATCTAGCTGTAGTCGATCAGTCACATATCGACTGCATGTATTGATCAACTTTACAGTCATGTTATATTTATCGGTGATAACAAGAGTATTAGGAGTAAGAACAATCATTCCAGTTATCCAGCACCTTTTTGTATCTTTCGCTGTCTTCACACAGATATCTTCATGGTAAGATAGTTCCTTTTCAAATATCATAGAAGCATTAGTTGTACTTTCATCATGCATTGTTTTTTGTACTAATATACCCAAAGATTTTTCTGATGTTAACAACTTTGATATTGTTTCATTAGGTGTAAAGCTGTAGCCATTTACTTTAAATTTGGCTAACTCTACGAGCCTTTTCTCGCAGTCTTCTATCATTTTCTCAGCACTTTTAACTTCCATAAAGAGCTTTTCTGCTTGTTTTGAAGAGTTAAGTCGTTTCATTGAATTACAGGATGTCCACAGATCTCTTGTTCTGTCGTTACAAGCTGTCTCAACTTCTTTAAGTATTTTTAAATTTTCATCTTGAAAGACATTTACTTCAACTGCAGCTTGTTTTTCAAGTTCATCTAATTTCTGATTGATTTCTTTCCGGAACAACTTTATGTCTTCTAATACATTTGCCAATGTCTTGTTAGCTTTAACGGTTAATCTGTACATACGGTCTTGTATTTTACGGAATTGCTCAGACATTGAATCCATTGTTTTCAACATTTCTAAGTACTCTTTGCCGTCAATGACATTTTCAGAGATATCGGGTATATAGCTGACTTTGCAAGAAGAATGTTGGTGGTGTCCATGAGTGACACAGACACTGCAGAGTAGTTCATTGTGGTCTTGACAGTAAAAGTTTATGACTTCCCTTTTGTGCTTATGACACGGTTTTGTAAAGTCATCATGCTGTTGATAATGAAAAGTTGAAGAAGGTTGTAATGTCTGTGGCATGTTGGTTTTGTCTACTAAAATGTGATCTCGGGAAAGAGTATGTCTCATGTGATGTTTAAAGCAGGATTCACATAAATGTTCACAACAATCTTTGCAGTAGCCATGTGCAGCCAATCTTTCCCCATCTCTGTCACAGGGCTGGCAGAAAACTGTAAGATGGCCATCACTGACTTTCCTCCCTGGGACAGCCATTGCCCTTTAAGAAAAATATTAAAAGGTTTATTTCTAGCAGATTAACTTAAAAGAAGAAGTCAAACATTTAATAATTGTCCATAAAGAAATTTCTATTAAATTTAGAAACGATGTACTAAGAATAAATGTCACTTCAACATCATTACTTAGAATAATTTCAGCTCGGAATCAGTTAAAAATTACGTCAGCTCCCCCTGTATTATCTTTTTGGTTCTTTAAACATACAAAAGGAATTTTTCCAGCTACAATATTTAAGAAGAAAGCCTTATTTTCTTCTGAAACTAAATGATCCACAATTTTGAGCCAAAGACAAATTTTCTTTAAGCAATTAAACACACATCTTAGGCATGATTTCATACTTGTATAGAGCAAAAAATATCAACTCGCATTCAAAAACATGTATTAAAAAACGGTATTTTTAAAGGAAGTAAATGTTAATTACATGCATATAGAACGCTCAAATTTCTCATCAAAATTAGTCGTTTTATAAATTCATGCATTTTTTTTAATTGAAACATGAAAGAAATATTAATAGAATGGTAAAATGCATTATTTAGAAAATAACTTTGTAATTTTGTAAACCTTTTTTTTAAGACATCATTTTGAGCCTATATTAACAGATCATTCGAAAAATATTTGAAAAACTGTTAACTAAAAATTTATGTAAAATTAACAAAGGAAAAAATGTTAAATTTACTAAGTAAACTTATTATTAAAATGTATCACTTGACTTTTAAAGCAACGACCTTGATTTTGACCTTTCATGCCTTAACAACATTGAAATTAATCTTCAAAACAATAACTAATTTTCATTTGGTATTTTCATAAACTTAACATGAAATAGGAATTTAAATTTTAATGATCATCTATTTTTAGTGATTTATTGAGTTATTCAAACAGTTTGAACAGTTTATTGAAAATGCTGGGCCTCATAGAGGCATCAGTCACATATACAATAATATATACATATAGTATGACATATAAAGAGATATCCACGAAATATGCTGATGTATTACATGGCAAATATAAATCAAAAATAAAAATGTTACATTATGAAAATAAGCTTAGTTATCAGTTACTTAAATGCTGAAATAATTTTTTTACAGAATACTGCAAGTTTTAACAATATACTCCTATCTGTGCTATTCATTAACATAGAAAACTTGATTGAATTAACATTAGTACTATACTCTCTAGTAATATATTTTTTTCTATCAGTATTAAAGAATTGACAATTAAATAAATAATGATATTCATCACCAAGTGAGCTATTATTGCATAAATTACACACTCTTAATTCTCTTGATATATTACAAAATCTACCAGACTCAATAGGCATTTTATGGTTCATACATCTAAAGCGCAATAGTACCAAAGCTAAATGAGATGGTAAAATATCTAAATACTTTTCAAATCTGAATTCACTTTTGTACATTCTATAATTCAGACATTTACTTGATTGTGACATTTCACTATGCCAATTTTGAATGAACTGATCTTTTAGTCTATTTGTAACAATTTTCTTAAACAATGGAAGAGAAGTGGCAATATTATTAATCCAAAAATTTGATAAACCCAGTGAATCTAATAATTTACAAACACTATTCATCCATGGGAGTTTCAACACATTTCTACAATACAAAGAGTGACATATCATACAATATGTGGCTTATTGATTCTTGTTTGCTACTTAAAATCTTATTCCAAAAGCACAAAACTCTACTTTTTATATGAACAGATAAAGGTAATATCCCTAAATCTCCATAAAGCATACAATTTGGAGTACTTTGTTTCAAATTTAATATGAGTTTATAAAATTTTAATTGAAATCTATCGATGATATTCACATTTTCAATCCCCCATACTTCGCTACCATATAACAATATAGGTGCTACCATGCTATCAAATAAATGAATTTGCATACTGATAGGCAAATCCAATTTTCTAGCCTTAACTATAATTGAAAACATAGCCTTCCTTGCCTGTTCTAATAAATGATTCTTTGTTTTAGCAAATTTACCATTATAAGAGAACTTAACACCCAGATATGAAAAATCATCAACAATTTCTAGCAAATTACCTTCAAAACTAAAGGCTGGAATATTACATAAACCTCTTTTACTTTTACAAAAAACAACAATTTTAGTTTTACTAGGATTAACTTGTAAATGCCATAATTGACAATAATTTTACATTGCATCTAGTGCTTTTTGCAGTTCTTCAGCAGACTCAGCAAATATAACAGTGTCATCAGCATATAAAAGAATATACAATTTAAAATACATTTCAACATCAGAATCACTCAGGGTATCATTTACAATGTTTGATAGTAGATCCAGACCATTAAAATGTTGTGACAGGAAATAGTTTAAATCATTTAAAAATAAAGAAAACAATATGGGAGATAAATTTTCACCCTGACGAACGCCTGTATGACTTGTAAAAAATTCCGACATATGACTAAAAGAATTAATTTTAACACAAGATTTAGCTTGTAAAGACATGTTATAAATGATCTTTATACATTTACCATCAACATTATTGCTAATTAATTTCTGCCAAAGTGCAGTTCTATTTATGCTATCAAAAGCCTTTCTATAATCAATAAAAGAACAATATAACTTTTTACCTTTAGACAGATATAAATCAATCAAAGTTTTCAGAGAAAATATATGATCAGTAGTGCTATACTTTTTCCTAAATCCAGCTTGTTCTTCACAGAGAATATTATTACTTTCTAAAAAATTATTGAGTCTAGAGTTAAGAACATTTGTGAAAAGTTTCCCAAAACAACTAAGTATAGTAATTCCCCTATAATTATCTGGGTCGTCTATGTTACCCTTGTTTTTGTATATTGGTAAAATAATCCCTTTACTCCAAACTTCAGGAAAAATTCCAGAATCTAAAATAATATTAAACAAATAACAAAACACATCAAACATGCTGTCGGGTACATTCTTCAGATATTCATTCAATACATGATCAAAGGAAGATGATGCTTTATTGTTTTTCAGTGAAATAATAGCTTTACGTATTTCTAATATAGTAAATGGTTTATCTAAATTAGAGTTATTTGACGAGACATTAGTTATATCAAAGTCATCAAGGTCAACTTGAGTGTCAACCTCATTCAATTTACTAAAATGATCAAAAAAAGCCTCAGTTGTTACTTTGTTAATAACTTCCTTCCGCTCACCTGAATATTTGTTCAATAGACACCAATAAGATCTAGGATCTTTATTTTTTAAACCTTTAATTTTATCAACAATGCTTTTCTGATATGCTCTAAACTTTTTCTTAACTTCTTTTTTATACTGTCGGCTACTACAAACTAAACTATCTTTATTCTCTGCAGTAGGGTTCCTGCTATACATGTTTTTATAATTCATATATTGAATACGAGCATTTTTACAATCACTATCAAACCAAATCTTATTGTTTTTCTTAGACTTCCTATGATTAACGTTTTTCTTTATAAGATCACAACTTACAGCTGCATCAGTTAAAATACCAGACACTTTACCGGTCAAATGATTAACAACATTTACATCAAAATGACGATTTTCACAAACCTCTTTAAGCTCATCCAATAAATTCCAAATGCTTAGTATCCGAATCAAAATGGCTGACTTAATACGTGTTTGAATTTTATGGATCTACATGTACATGTAAACAGTAATCATAAATTCAGTTATGTATTATTATAACAATTTATTTTTTAATTAATAAAAAGTTTTTTTTATCAAAACCATTACCTCGTTTATTATAAATCCGATGAAGTTTTGGTTTCAAATAAAATTATTGTGTTAAATATCGTCCTAAACAACACAATAAACTTCCTGTTATCGTACCTGTCACGAGATCTCGTTTTAAGTGTTATCAGATTGGGTTACATATCTATTTAAATTATACCAAGACAAATTTTGTCTTACATTTTATCGATTGTTGCATTCCATTATTATTAATTACAATATAGTCTATCGCAGGTTTAATATGAACATATAAAAACTAAGCGAGATCTAAAGAATCTAATGCTTATTTCATAATTTAAAAGACATTTGCAAAATTACTTCCTTGATAACAATATTTTCAATCAGATACAAATGTAATACACGGTTACATCACGCTTTGATAGTATTCAGGGTCACGGTCCATGCAAACTCATTTTTTAACGTTTATGACGTTTTGTAGATATGAAGGAAGTTGTCGTCCTTGTCTTCACTAGCTTTACAACTGTAGTACAGCTAACGTGTTTCCATACACCAACATACAGCCTCTTGACTCTCAAGATTATTCAACACAACCTTACCAGTAGAGCAGTTTCCGAACATCTCTTTTATTACACTGTGCATCCCGTCACACACAAACAAAGAATAATCATCTGACAGTGCTATTCCGTTAGGTACACACATGTCACCATAACTACCAATGACCTCTCCATACAAGTTTGCTTTTACCCTTTTATTCATGTTCCTGTCAGAAACATAAAATGAACTGCTTACAGCTGTTATATGAAATGGATCACTAAATGTTATTTCATTTTTAAATGTTTTCAACACAATGCAGTTTAAATCAAGTAGCTTGAGTTCTGATGGATTCCAGAATGATATGATAAATGTCCTGCCGTAACAGCTTATACCGTGACAGTTTCCATCCAACTTCATAATGTGCTGCTGTTTTAATTCGTTATAAACTGAATTTTGTTAGCCCAGCGTAGTTTAGTGCTAGTTACTTAGGTGACACCGTATGGCTGTTCGTCTTAATCTAGTCGATATGTTATAGTTTCATTGTAAGTATCCACCATCTTGACAGCATGGTTATAGTAGTCAGCGATGATAAGACGATCAGGAGTAAGAAGAGTCATTCCTGTTATCCAGCACCTGTGATTATCCTTCGACGTTCTCACACAGATATCTCCCTTGGAAAAAACGTCTAAACGTCAATTTTGTACATTATGTTTCGATGATTATGTTTACAAATGTACCAAATGATGTTACTGTTACTAGCACAATTGATATTATTTCATTAGGATTGAAACTGTGACACTGGTTTAAATATGCAATCTCCTTCTTGCAGTCTTCTATCATTTCAACCACTCGTTTTACTTCCACGAAAAGATTATCAGCTTGTTTTGTGTTGTTAATTTCTTTGATTGAGTAAGAAGATGTCCATAAAATATTTGTTCTATCGTTAAAAGTGGTCTCTATTTGTTTTAAGATTTTGGAATTATTTTCTTGAACTATTTTTGCTTCATCAATAGCTCTTTGTTTAAGTTCATCTAATCTTTGATTCATTTCTTTTCGATGCATCTTGATGTCTTCTATTACATTTTTCAAGGTGCGGTTAAATTGTACAGAAAATATATACGTAAGATCTTGTATACATGTATTATGAAATTGACCAGAAATTGTACCTATGGTTTTCAAGATTTCACGGTTCTCTTTTTCATCAATAACATTTTCAAAATGTCTGGTAAATAGCTCATTTTGTGAGCAGTACGCTGATGTCCTACAGCAACACAAACACTGCAAAGTAGTTCATTATGTTCTCGGCAAGAATACTTGATAACCTCATTTTTGTGCTTAGAACAATGCTAATCTTGCTGTTGATTTTGAACAGTAGAAGAAGTTTGTATGGAATGTGGCATGTTTTTCTTTTATCTAAGTTTTATTTTCGCAAATTTATGTAAAATAGAGAAAAACAGAATCCCTAAAGAAAGCTCAACACAACACAATTGAAAATGTTGCAGTCATTTGAACAGATTAAAAAACCTGTGACCGAGACCGCACATTAAAGAAACATAACATGTCCTTTATAGACAAGTGTTCCTTATCCAGAAGATTATCTATTATGTTTAAGGATTGGGGTGTTGTTTAAAGGTGGCAGTAATCTTTAGCGTTGGTGGTCTTTGGCACGGTTTTCACTACTTATACTGATTGCTAGTAAATGATGAACAAGGAACATACTTATTACATGTTCTAACACGACCCGCATTTTTCTTTATTGAATATACACCGTGCATATCCAGTAACACAGGCATATGCAATTAACGTAACAGTAACGCCGAATCTGTGCAACGCTATTGCGAAACGTATAACACAGTAAGTAAAAGAACCAAAATATTTACTTCTTAATCAAATTTTAAGAAATGAATTATCGCATACGGATGCTACGACATTATACTTTACCAGCATTACAAATTATTTTAGGATATGTTTACTTCTTAAGATCATTCGTGAAAAAGACAACGTAATTACCGCTGTGAAGGTGACTTTTGTGTGTCGTCAAATAAATATGTTCATTGACCACATTTGAAACATTATTTTTTCATAATCCGACTGTATACCTAAGACATTTGTCAAACTATATATGTCGTACAACAATAGAAGGAAGCTGGCAAAATACGATTTAGCTTCTTTTAAAATGAGATAACCGCAGTTGCTTCAGTGCCTTTTTCACGAATTCAGCTTTTTTCTTGTATGGTTTATTTTTATTGCTTGTCAACAATCTTACTTATTTTCCTTTCATGAAAAGTTCATTATCATTACTTCTGGATCAAAAATACGAAAATTAGACATAGTATAACACTTTAGACCTTCCATTTATAAAAGTCATTGAGGTGTGAAAATTCAATAGCATAATTACTCAATTTCTTGGTCATTGGTAATAATATATATAAGAACTTCCAAAACAGATATAATCAGAGCGGGCGCTGTGGTGCAGTGGTCACACTGTTTGACTACAAATCTAGGGGTTGCGAGTTCGACCCCCCGGTACTCCTCAAAAATTTACTTACACTCTTTCATACTCTGACTCACAGGACACGGCTCACATACTGATGTGACACAAAGGACACTATTAACAAATTGACTTGACACACATGCCATTACTTACACACTGACATGACACACACAAGACACTACTCAAACACTGACATGATACACACCGGACACTACTTACACTATGACATGACACACACAACACTCAACTCACACACTGGCATGACATACACAAGATACAACTCACATACTGACACGACATACATAGGACACTACTCACACACTGACATGACTCACACAAGACTCAACTCACACACTGACATGACACACACAGGACACTACACACACACTGACATGACACACACACACAAGACACATACTGACATGACACACGCAGGACACTACTCACACACTGACATGACACACACATAAGACACAAGTCACACACTGACATGACACACACAGGACACTACTCACACACTGACATGACACACACACACAAGACACAACTCACACACTGACATGACACACACAGGACACTACACACACACTGACATGACACACACACACACACACAAGACACACACTGACATGACACACGCAGGACACTACTCACACACTGACATGACACACACATAAGACACAACTCACACACTGACATGACACAAACAAGACCCTACTCACACACTTACCTGACGCACACAAGGCACAACTCAAACACTGACCTGACGCACACAAGACACTTCTCACAGTGACACACTGACCTGACGGACACAGATCACTACTCACACACTGGCATAACAAAAACAAGACACTACTTACACACTGACATGATTTACATGTGACACAACTCACACAGTGATATAACACACTACTCACATATTGATCTGATAGATAAAAAAACACTGCTCACAAACTGTTTTCCCATACTGACCCGTTGTACACTGGACATTACTCAAACAATGACATGACACAAGGAATTACTCACAGTCACAGACAGTCACGGCGTTTAAAATTGATACAAAGACCATGTATTTCACGGTTAATACACACACTTAATAACACTAAATGTTTCATGATTTGAAAGCAAAATTGTTTTCCTTTTCCTACTTTATTTTCCTTTATTCTGATTTGATAAATAAATAAGATTTATAGTTATAAAGGGCGTTAGATTCTAAATGAAGAAAGCAAGGAAATTTTACAATCATTTACGAAGCTTAACATTCTTAAAGACTAGTCAAATGCAATTCGAATGTTAAGAATGAAATAACATGATTTAAGTATACTTGAAATATTTCCGTGTAATTCGCCAGTGACCTGATGGAACGGATTCTCTCTGGACTTACGTGGAAAGATTGTCTGGAATATTAGATGACATAATCTCATATTCTGATACCTTTATGGGTCATTAGAAAGCTAATTCATGTAACAACTTCAAATTATAGTTTGTAGGCTTTTGGACCTTAGTGGAGTTAAATAACTAAAAACTATTAAACTGTTTGCGAACTATATGACTGACAATAATTATCTCAGCTTAATCACCCTCATTGAGTGGAAAAGATACAGGTTAAATTTAGGTAACTGTTTGTGCTAAATAACTTGCAAAACATGTGACGAGCATTCGTCAAAATCCCTACGTATATTCAAAATACATTTAGATCTTTTAATATGAACACCATAATTTATTCACATTAACTCAATGTTTTGTTTTTATTAGGCTTAACAGTCCAAAAATCTATCATATACTCTTTGGGTTTTCCGCTATCAGATGTTTTATTGGTGCTGCTTTACGCTTTCACCTAATTGATTTTAATCTTTGAGTCAGTACATTTTATAATAATTGCTCAAGTACCACCTTAAAGGCACACTAACAGTGTTTTGACTGAAAATGTGACGGATATTTTAGACTTACTCTAGTTGAAAAAAGTGTTTCTGAATTAATGAGTTCTTAGTTCCAGAAAAACAATCAAATAACAAATCAGACCTGAACAATGCCTATACTTACTTTCTATCAAGCCCTAGGTACAAGTGGAACAGCATGCGGTATTCGTGAATAATGTCATCTAAATGTA